TTCTAGTTTTGAGAGTTTCTTAATTGTTGACATTGTCGACATTGTCTACATTGTCGACTCTTCCAAATTAAGTCTTCATCTAGATCATTGTCTACGCGTAGACAATTGCATTGTCTACGTCGACATTGTCTACCCGCCCATCCCTGGTATAGAGTAATAAATATCGTTATAATCTATTACGTATCAGTTCTTCCTGTACCCCCTCCGACTTTCTTAATTACTGTAAACCTAAACCCATAGGTTTAGGGAAGTACAGCATATAACCATATTAAACTCGCCTTGTGACTCTGATGTAGTGGAATAATCAGTTGCGATACTTTATCAGGATGACAATACAAACGGTTTCTTAATTTATTTAGGAGTAAATGAGGAACAAATTCCAATTAACATGTTTGGTGACAAAATTAAGTTTTAATAGAGCAAATAGCAAATAGGCAACCAGCAATACATTTTTATAGATTTTATTACACAGTTTGTCTAAATATGAATGCACAAAAACCTAACAGACTTTCCTCCATTTTAACGCAGATTTTCTATAAAATGGATCTAGTTTCAAACTAAAATAACTCTTTAGCGTGAAGAAATTTGTAATTTACGATGTCGCTTATTCAAAAACGGCAATTTACAAATTTCTTTGGAACAAAAAGTAATTTGAGTTTCAAACTATCTCCATTTTATAGAAAATCTACGTTAGAATGGAGGAAAGTCTATTATTTGTGCATTGATTCAATTTAAACAAACTGTGTAATAAAATCTATAAAAATGTATTGCTGGTTGTCTATTTACTATATAGCCCTCTTAATGAAAATATTTTTTGTCTATGTGAATATAGAGTCAACTCGAATATAGTAGTAGTCGTGTAAATCGATAATTGCCAAAAAAAACTTAATAGCTGCCATCGTAGCGATTAACTAAGGCCTGTTTATGTTTTTCTTGCGTCGTTAGCATTACTGTCGTGGATTTGGATTATGCGTACGCTGATTTTGATTGCCCGCAGAGCCTTCGGGCGGTCTGGCTCCATTTTTACCTGCGGTGCTGGGATGTTAGTCGCCCATTCGCCGATAAGGGGGTTTCCAGTACGCTCAGACATCTCCTCCGTGACGTTGTCCGTAAAGGGTGGATGATGCAGACACTGTTGATCTTCCTCCATTGATGAACGAGTTCTAAGCTGCTTTGACATGAGTGGTCCACGCTCTACTTTGGTCCGGAGACGCACTTATACACCACTTGCTGCTTTTAGATCAAGTTTTGAGAGTTTCAACCAAGCCTTTGAATTGTTTTTTACTATGTTTCTGTTTCGCTGTCTTTAAGTGTGGTGACTAGGCAGTAAAGTTTATATTTGAGGTCTCCGTACAGTACCTGCAAACTTGAGGAGCTTTGTTCACTGCGCCTCGCAGGAAGGCTAGTGCTTGGCAGCTTAAAAATTGGGTATCCCTTAGGGTCTTCGCCATAAGTAGGATGGACCTAGGCGGGTAGCTCGAGAAGCTTTGTGAGCGTAAGAGCTCATGTGATTCTTTTTTAGAGAGAATATAACTCCGAAATACTTTTAAGAAAATATTTGTTTATTGATTATTTTTGGCTTAAATAACAGTAATATGGTCAATAATAACGTAGAACACATACAAAGCATAAATTTGGAGCGAGTACATTCTCTGGCGAGGTATCAGTACACTGATTATAATAATTATTAATCTATCGATGGATCGGGTCGACGTTCAGTCACAGGCATAGGCGCCTCCGCAGATGGCTCTCTTACGTGGTCTAGTTTAGAATCAGCTCTGCCATCCTGTCCGTTACGGAACCTTAGTAACTTGGCCTCTCTCTATATATACAGGGTGTTCCTAAATAAGTGTCGCAACGGAAAACTGTAAACTCCTCTTGAAAAAGAAACATTTTTTTCCTCTTCCATTTTTCTCTCCGGGCTTTCGTTTTCGAGATACACGGTGTCAAAACTTTAATTTTTTTTTAGTTTTTCGCCAATATCTTAGGAATCGTTTGAACTACAGGACTGAGCTTTTGTACACGCATTACCACTATTAATAGCTACTTTTTCGCACCCTTCTCGAATTCATTGGACGTGCCAGTGGTGGAGATTTTAAGGTATTGTAAGGGTTTTTCCCCCCCTAAATTTTACGCCACTGGAAAAATTGACTTTTGACAGCAAATTCTAAAGCGCCAATGAATTTTACACAATAAGAGTTCTCTTGGTTCATTACTCTAAAGTCAACCGTTTTCAAGAAAAATGACTTTTTATGAACAAAAGCAAACATTTTTGCTAACGTTCCATGTCAATACTATCGAAAAGTTGACCGATAGAGGTGAAGCCGCAGCGTCAGAAAGAAACATGATTAGAAGATGTAATGCGTGCATTCAAGCCAACGGGCGTAATTTTGAACAGTTTCTGTAAATTTTACTCGCCAAATTGATAAAAAAAAGTTAAAATTCTATCTGTTGTTAAATTTCGTTAAAAAAAGTCATTTTTCTTGAAAACGGTTGACTTTAGAGCAATGAACCAAGAGAACTCTTATTGTGTAAAATTCATTGGCGCTTTAGAATTTGCTGTCAAAAGTCAATTTTTCCAGTGGCGTAAAATTTAGGGGGAGGGAAACCCTTACGATACCTTAAAATCTCCACCACTGGCACGTCCAATGAATTCGAGAAGGGTGCGAAAAAGTAGCTATTAATAGTGGTAATGTATGTACAAAAGCTCAGTCCTGTAGTTCAAACGATTCCTAAGATATTGGCGAAAAACTAAAAAAAAAATTAACGTTTTGACACCGTATATCTCGAAAACGAAAGCCCGGAGAGAAAAATGGAAGAGGAAAATTTTTTTCTTTTTTCAAGAGGAATTTACAGTTTTCCGTTGCGACACTTATTTAGGAACACCCTGTATAATCTTGTAGATGTTACTTTTGTTGTTAGATTGCCATTCAGTCCGAATTTCGTAAAATTCGGAAAATTTTTAATCTCCGAAATTCGAATCCGGATTGGCCTCGTCGCTTTTAATTCGGGTCTTTGGTAATGTAGACTGCTGCGGCGGGTCATTTTTAGGCTCTTTGGGGCGGTTTCCAGCGCGTCGGCGGAAATTTTGGAAAGATCAGTGAAATTTTCCCATTCCCGCTCCGCGTCGTCTTGGATGTCCCAGCGACGGCATCGTCCGTCGTCAATATTGACTGCCGTCGACAGCGCGGTTTGTGGCTGCTTGGAGCCGTTTTAAGCGCGCCGACGGGATTCGATTCTACATGGGGCGATTTAACTTCACTGGTATTACTACATTACCTTAAATGTGCATACATGCTGAGCTTGATAAAATACCTCAACTGATTGATCATAGTTAGATCACGATATCTTTATGATACCAGTGATTTTATAAACTAATAAATAGCAACACTACTTCAATAAAGAGTTATTCGCAGAAAATAAATTAAATTTAACTATCTTGGGACGTCGCGAGAACAATAATATGAATTTCTCATTCAGGAATTATGACAAAATTACTGTGACTGGGACTATCTAGCTTAAAAATTATTAAATATAGAAAATACAGAAAATGTGTATAAATATCTATTTCCAGATCAGCAATAATATAATTATTCCATTTAAAGAATGACTTCTAATCACTTTAGTGTGTTATTTATAAAAGGTCATTTCTTTTCCACCGGGAATGTTGCTACTAAAATCATATATTAGTAAAAGATCAAGATCCTCAAGCCTTATCTACAGCTTGTAACAGATTTTAATATGATAACTATTAGAATTCATTTTTTACTCAATTTTGAAAATAAATTGATCAATATGTTAGAATATAATATACTAACAGTAACATTTAAAATAACAAATTGTAAAATTTTGCCATTTGTACATACAACTATAACAATATGTCGTCGCCGAAAATATTTCAGTAATAGTACACGTATATTAAGAATTAAGTATATTGTGTAAGTGGTTATTGGTTGAGGATTGAGGAAAATATCAATAATCTTTACCAGAGTTCACATATACAAGTCTTTAAATAAAAGGAGGAATGATATTTGGAATAGCATGGACGTGCAGAAGGGAAGAAATAATATGAAAATAAATGACATTGAAGATAAAGATGCGTTTATAATAATAAATATTCCCGACATTAAAACGCATATATCACGAACGTTTAAAATAACAAATCAAAGAAACGAGACAGTTAATTATTTGGAATTTTATAAAAAATATCTAGCACTACGACCGAAACAGGCAAAGTCAGAGCACTTATTCTTAGCAATGCAAGATGGGAAGGTCACGAACCAGGTAGTGGGTAGAAATACCATGAAGTTGACCCAGAAAAATTGTACAGTGCTTAAAATTGCCGGATCCCTCAACTTATACCGGACACACATCCCGAAGGAGTTCTGCCACTATTCTGGCAAACCAAAGAATAAATATTTTAGGCCTAAAAAGCACAGTGGGTGACATTAGTCCTTTGTAGCTGGTGATATATTGAAGACTCTGTGGATAATAAAAATCAATTTTCAAACAAGATTTTACATGGAAAGTCTCGAGGAAATTCTAGGGTGACTGAAAGTGACATCGCAGCGCAGACTTTTATAACAAAATGTGGAGCAAATAGGTATATCATCATCAGAAGGGAACGTTGTTATAAATCCCAATTCAATTAATTGCTCCAATAAATTTTAATTATTGTTCAAATTGTAATTATAATTTTGTCTTCATTAAAAATTGATTTTTAAAATTATATTTTTATTCAATTACTTACCGCCTCCTAATAGGTAGGTAAGTAATCACTTACCCATCACTATTTTTGTTAACGTCCTTTACAAATGTCTCAACAAATTCAGTAAATTTGTCAAATTACATGAACGCGAAAAAACTAAATACTGATACTACTATAGCAATTTATATTCACCATGCAGTCAGGGAGTATAATGCGAAAATTTTTATTATGAAGCCATTGTTAATTTATTCATATTTAATTTATAACAATACTAATAATAATAATATTTTAGATCGTACACTCAAAGAAACTGTAACCTGGAGTGTCAATCAAATTATACGTATGAAAAATGTTACTGTATACCATATTATTTACCAAGTAAGTTATTTGTTATGATACAAATGTAAATTTAATTATATATTTCAACAGGAAACAAATTCATTAAAGTTTGTGGTAAATCTGACCAAGAATGTGTTGCTACTGCAAAGGAAGATATGGAAATAACGTATGGAAATGGGTATGTTAAAATGTTTTATTCTGGTCAATAGCTAAGCCTCAGTTCAGATATGACAGTTTCCAAGCGAAAAAAACGCACAGTTTTATTCACTCGGGTTTTTCTAATTTTTCGCAAGTGGAGAAAAACGCACCGTTTTATCCATTCAGATTTATCCAATTGTTCGCAAAAGGGGACAATCAGCCTCATAAACACAGTTTAAACGTGAAAGTAGAGGAGGTAATGTCTTTTTGGATGTTATACAAAAAATAAAATACAAAAAGGGAAAATTGGTCAGTTTAATATTTTATTTGTGATCATTAGAAGAAAACCTAGTAATAATTTTTTAAGTAAATATATTACCTAATTATTGAAATTATGATTGTCTGAATATATGTTTGCTATAAATTGCCAATTGATACTAATATATGATGTTGGCAAAGACAGTGGCTCTGGTGGTGACGGATATGTGGCTTAATGAACTATCGACTAATTTGTTTTGTAGATTTCGATTTTGTAGTAGGTAGTTGAAACAAAATATACAGACATAAACACAATTTATCTCTCGACTGAAACCGAAGCAAAATTTTTGTTTATTTTCTAGTTGAAAATACTGGGTGATAATGTCATTAATTTTAAGAGCAGATAGAGAAAAATGAGTATAATACGATGTCGTGATTAAAAACAAATTTAAATGCATATTTAAGCTGAAAAAAAAATATTTTCAAATCATTATTTAACCCCCTTTTCAGGCTGTTACTGACCGGCTGCCTGCGCACGGCTACCATATGAACAAAGCGCCCTAGATGCAACGTTGCCATATTTATATATTTTCGCTCATACAAAGACAATAAATAAACGGTTTGCTCACGTCAGCCAATAATAATTTAAAATGCTATAAATTATTTTTTATAATTATGCAATCAACATATTAAATTGTTATTGTTGCCCAGCAAGAAACTCGAGGAGGTCTGTGCATGCCTTGCATAGAATGCCAGTTTTTATTAATATCATAATGTTAATTTTTTAATTTACCGTAAGCCTTCGGGCTTACAGCAAATGTTCAAATACATTACCGTTACCGTCTATGCACGTTGGATAGATGAACGGCGGACACGATGTAATAAACCAGGATTGTTACCTATTTCTTCAGCGGCGTGTTCGATACGATTCCGCAACTGCTCTACATTCTCTGCCTCGGTGTGATACACGACAGATTTCATATAACCCCATATACAAAAGTCCGTAGAATCGCGCTGGCCATCTTATGGGCCCTCCTCTCCCTATCCACCGATTTGGACGTTGCTCCTCTAAAAATCCGCGGACATCGCGAGCAAAATGGAGCGGAGCTCCGTCTTGCATATACCACATATCCCGTAGCATCTGAAGGGGAAGATTTTCAAACAATTCTACTAAAAATTGAAAGCTGCCCATTCAGCTGTTCTGGTAGAAAATGCGGCCCAATTAAACAATCGCCATATACACCTGCCCATACATTGTCACCGAATCTCCTCTAAAAGCTAAAGCGACGAGTAGTGTGCGGGTTTTCATCTGACCAAATATGTGACTATTATGGCTGCAAAGAAATTAGCTCTGTTTCAGTTTAAATAAAATTTATTATTGAAGTTACAAAACTCCAAGAGTTCAAATAATTTAAATTTAATTTCATAACCATTTCAGTTTCATTATAGAAATAATGACTTTAAAAACCATCACTCACTAGATAAATAATAAAGAGAGGGTGAAAAGTATGTAGTATTTAAATATTGACTGTGGACTTTATTCTTGAATTATAGGGAGTAGAAGGAACGAGTCTCTACTAAAACTCATTAATCGGTATGCTTGAATGGTATTCTATTGAGTAATGATAGAAGAATTGCTCCCTATTTCTTCTACTGATATTTTCGGGGGAACAGGCAGGGATCATTAAACCTAACCCTATATTTTTTGACATGTTTCACAAATTACGAATTCCGTAATCTGTCTGTAATATCTCTAGTTACTTTTTTATTGTGGTGATATCCTTGGAGAACTTTGAGGAAACATTCGTATAATTTGTATTTACTTGAAGGATTATACAATACTCGAATAAGATAATAATAGAATAAAATGGATCTACCTAAAATTAAAATATTTGTAAGTTCTTCCCAGTTGGCCCTCATTGTCTCTCTAGTGTAGCTCTAGTGTTAACTTTCCAGTGTACATTTGTTTTTTACCCTCAATATAATTTATTAGAAGTTCTTTTTGTTTAGAACGTACCTACTGGATTTAGCTTCGGTTTTTTATTGATTTCCATTTTCTTTTCTTTTTAGACTGCACCTGACACTGACAATTAAATAACATTAATAAGTAGCACTTATTTCATGACTACCTCATCGCTAGTTTTCATTCTATCGCCTATGTACTGCTTTCTGATTGGTCTGTACATTTGACAACATTGTTCCTCGTTCTTCACTTTCATGGTTCGATCCCCTTGTGTCGAGAATACAGTATGAATTTTGTGATAGAACAGTAGTAGAGCGAAATGAGGGAAGGTTCCCCAGGGAGCATTCTATTCTCTCACCGTCAAGAATCGAGCTCTGTAAGTAATGCAAGAGAGACTTGAATATTCCATAAAAAAAACAATCGGACGGAGACAAATTCCGGCACAATAAATAACTCGGTATGTGTTTCCGACCCAGGATAACCTGTCTAGGTCACTAACCTTCTAACCCACCTACACGAGCACTATATGACTATAGTAGGATCGTATTCGATGCAAAGTAGAGCAAAAAGTTGTCGGTCTATTATCAAAGGAAAATCGTGTCATCATTTTTAGAAGGCGTAAGGTGAACCATTTCAAATTTAAAATAAAATTGAATGTAAAATCTGAAATACCGCTGCATACGCAGTGTTCTGGTAGTAGCTGTAGTCGCCCAGATGCATTGAGTGTACGAAGTGGTCGGTTATTCGTCAAATACTAAGCTGGCGAACTTGGTCGTAAATCAGAGAGCGCCTCCGAAAATCAAGTAAACAACAGTGGCGCGTACAGGGGTAAAACGTAGTACATATGTGGAATTTAAAAAATAAATTGGATTTATAATAAATTACATTTAAAATAAATAGTTTATGAGAATAAAGGAATTTTGTAGGAACAATAATGTATAAAGAAATTATTCAATTTCTAAAACCCTTAAAAGCGTCTTACACTGACAGGCAATGATTTATTACTTTGCATTACTTTAATAGTTTGCGATTCCAACTACGCGTTTATACACATTGATGTAGGAGCACTCAAAACACAGAGGCCGTGGCGATAGCGGTGAGATCGCTACGGCATGGAGACGTTGCGGTGGTGTCCTGTTACCACCCACCCAGACTACCACTACTTGACAATGACTTAGACAAAATCCTTTCCTGGCCCCAGACAATTGCCATCGGGGACTTCAACGCGAAGTCCCCCATATGGCACAGCGGGACGACGACCACAAGAGGTCGCGTCCTGCTGAATTACCAAGACAGACACGACGACTTGACTATACTCGGACCGACAGAACCGACACATTACGGACCCGTAGGACGCCCCGACGTTATCGACATTGCCCTCTTAAAATCTATACCGTTAAATGCCCAAATATCCACCCAATACGAAGGGTCTTCCGCCCACAATCCAATATTTCTGGATCTGGGGCGAAGACAGAGATATGAAGGCACCTTCACGAGGAGGTTCACTGACTGGGAGCGTTTCCGAACAGTAATGCAAGGAAACATGGCGCTCCCAGTCATCGAAACCACCCATGATCTGGAGGCGGCAATCCTCTCCCTTGAGACTGACATTAAAAACGCCCTGACTCAGACTACGACGGAGACTATTGTCCCCCGACTGACAAACCCCCGGGGCACCCTCCCCGATGACATAAAAAACTTAATACGTGACAGACGACGTGCGAAACGGCTTGCCACCCGCACCCGACTCCCCCGACACAGACATGACTTAAACGTACTTAACAGACGGGTGAAGGCGGCTCTGGATGAACTGGCCCAGGATAACTGGGCTAGGCACCTGGAGTCGCTGGATCCACAAGACAACAGCCTCTGGAAAACGCAGAGGGCCCTGCGACAGACCGCTCGCCGTAAAATTCCTCCAATCCACGGTAGTGTGGGGGTGGTTTACACGAACCAGGAAAAGGCCGAGGCTTTCGCCGATAGCCTGGAACTGCAGTGTAGACTGCCTCAGCTGCCCGACGAAGACGAGGAATTCGAGATAGTGGCTGAGCGCGCGGCCCGACGCGTCGACAGAGAGCCAGACAATGACATAATCCCCCCCGCAACACCTGACGAACTAAGACTGACAATACGCAGACTTAAAAACAGAAAAGCCCCCGGACCCGACAATATACATAACACGACACTTAAACGACTACCACACAAGGGCCTCATGGCCCTACTAAACATAACAAACGCGACACTCAGACTAAGACACTTCCCTACCCGCTGGAAAACAGCAAACATAATCCTTATCCCAAAACCCAACAAAGATCACACCATCCCATCCAACTACCGGCCCATTAGCCTGCTCCCGGCTATGAGCAAAGTGGTAGAAAAAATTATCCTAACCCGTCTAAGAACCCACTCCCAAGAACTGCAAGTCATTCCAGACGAGCAGTTCGCCTTCCGACCCAATCACTCCACTGAACTCCAAATCCTTCGCCTTACCGAGCACATCACGGCGGCCTTCAACAGGGGACAGTACACTGGTGCTGTCTTCCTGGACGTCGCAAAGGCCTTCGATACGGTTTGGCATGAAGGCCTACTGATGAAAATGCTCACCAACCAATATCCCATATCCTCCAATGGACCAAAAAAGTTTACGTATGTGCAATCCCTACTTTAGGCTATATGTTTGTTTTATACTGTACATATGTAATACTCTAGTGTCATTAAAAATTATTACGGTGTAATGTATTTCCTCTCCAATAAACGTGTTTTCTTTGTATCCCACCCATCCCACTACCCTAACAAAGAAGTATGTAGACGTTTTTGCA